TAGGCGGAAAATAGGTAGAAACTAAATATTCTCGACAAATTTATGTGACGTGGCAATGTTTGAAGTAGTTCAAAATTTAAGGTTAGGGTTTCGTTTCGTTTCGTTTAATTTTAATTAAAACAGAACTCCTCTCTGCATCTGTGGACATGCCGGGACGTTGTCCTCGAACACAGCACAGTCACTCTACTACTCTCCTAGTAGAGTGACTGTGCCTCGAATAAGAGCCGGACTAAGCTCAAAAGGAATGGGAATTTGATTGTATTAACGTACATTCTGTCAGAGTTCGATCAGAGCCAAACAGTGCCCTCGAATAATGAGTATGAAAAAACTGTACTGAAATCGATTTTGGTGTCGTGTTTGTGTTGTTTCGTTACATGGCACGATGCTGATGGGCTGGGAGAAAAAAAAAATCGCGAGTCTGAGCATGGAGGTAGAAAAGACAATGCACTAGTGTTATTATTTAGGTACATGTACTAGTACCTCGAATAAACAGGAAACACGGCAGCTAAAATGTGTTACAACCTATTATTTATTGTCATGCAAAATTACCATTTTGTAATTACTAGTATTCAACTGTTAGTGATATCTAAACTACTAGTACTATGAAGAATCACAGGGTCTCTATCCTCTCTATACTGTAAAGAGGGTAATTATTCACTGGGTTTTAATTTAGCTTATTTCGCTGACTGGAAAATGCGCTAAATTAAAACCCAGTGAATATGTTAAATTTAGCATAGAACACATTATCTAAATGACGAAACCGTGAATTTAAAACCCACTGAATATGCCTGAAATGGTAAATCAGTGAAAATTAAACCAAATGAAAATTAGTCATTTTACAGTATATCATAGAGGGACTGCGGAAGAATCTAAACCTACTAGATCGCTTCTACGATTTTTTTCTTTGGTGTCTTTAAAAAGTTTCCGTTCAGTCGTTCTTTCAAGTTTTTGTTGCATAATGTCGTACGCCATTTTTCCCGTTTCTCGTTGAGCTATCAATCTATCGCAGCGGCAGTAATTCTTTGCTATGCCAAGTGTATATTAGGGCGCGTACATCTTCTTCAAGCCGGATATTGCGTGAAATTACGAAATATGTTGTCTCCGCCATAATTGAAATGATAGGTTACTTGAAGAAGACGATCGAGGGCGTGATTTCGGCTCCGATAGTTGGGCCCTGGTGCGTTTACACCATCGGAGCCATGTCGGGACTCAATCCTATCGGAGTTCAACCCCGAGAGTTTAGTGGAGCCGAACTTGGCTTGAGCCGGCTCGAGCAGAACGCGTTCTCACGGATATTTTTGCTGGCTCGAGGCGGCTCGAGCCGTAGGGCTCCGATAAAATGCTGTCGTGTGAACGTAGCAAATGTCAACCACCAAACTCAATAACGGCTCTTATTCGAGGACAGCGTTCCGGTTTTCCACAGCTGCAGAGAGGAGTTCTGTTTTAATTAAAATTAAAGTTAATCGCCAATTATGTGTGAACAAGCTGCATTTGAATGATGTCTGTGGAATGCGAGATCGCTGACCGGTAAAATAACGGATATATCAACTACTTTAATTGAAACAAATCTGGATATCCTACTGATCACCGAAACTTGGCTAAAATCAACAGATGACCCAGTGATTTCTGAATTTTTCTCCAGTATTAGTGGATACTGCATTCACCAACAACTGCGTTCAAAGCGGAAAGGGGGTGGTGTGGCAATTATTGCGCGATCTAATCTTCTTGTCACCAGTCTGAGTAAACAAACGCATCACTTCAACTTGTTCGAGTGTCGACGTCGCTTTCAAATCCTGTAGTCAACTGCTTCATGTCACTGTTATACACAGGCCACCAATCTCATCAAAGAATAAATCTATCATGCAGAATTTGATTTCTCGTCTCTTCTCAGGCAGCTATTCCTGGAACCGGAAAGTTAATACTTGGGGTGATTTTAATTTTCATATGGATGACTCGGGACTCTCGCGGCGCTAATAAATTCAAGGATCTTCTGGAATATATGAACCTTTCTCAACATGTAAATGTCTCGACTCACAGTAGGGGCCACAACCTTGATATACTAATAACACGTTCTTCCGACTTTATAATAAACAATATACGTGTGTCCAATATCATGGAATCAGACCACAGACTTATACATTTTGGTGTCAACATTCCTCGCCCACAAACGAAGACAATTACCAAATCATATCGTAATTTGAAAGAAATTGATATTGAAATTCTTCACTCGCAAATCGAGGAATAAGATATTATTACACACCCGTGTTGATACATTATGTGAATATTACACTCAAACTGTGATTAACATCTTAAATAATCTTGCCCCTAAACGTGAGAAAGTATCCTAAGACAAACCTCGGGTGCCATGGTTTATTGACGAACTACTCATTATGCGACGGAATGTAAAAAAAGCTTGAGCGGAAATCGACTAAATTAGTTATTGACCGTGAAATATTTATTGCTAGCCGGTCGGAGTATTGTCGTCGGTCGGATTCTGTAAAAGCGGACTATCATCGTTGCCGAATTGATAAGGCAAACGTAAATTATCTTTTTAGTATTATCGATGAATTGATTGGCTCAAAGAAAACCCGCAGGGATATAAAACCTAGTACAATACCGACGGGTGAGCTACCTGATAGGTTTATCAATTATTTCAATGGCATTTAACAATACCATCTCGGACAGGGACAGCGACACTACAGTTGAAACCTACTGTAATACACTATCAGGATTCGCACCTGTAACTGAGGACAATATTGTAAAATTAATCAGACGACTACCATGCAAATCATGTACCATGGATACGTTACCAACCAGACTCATTCAAAATGTATTATTCGGCTTTCGCCATTTATTAAGCGACTTTTTAATTATTAACTCATTTCAGGAGTCGTTCCTAAATTTTTTAAACTCGCCATTGTCAAACCTCTTATTAAGAAGCAAAATCTCAACCAGAATCTTTCTAGCAGCTATCGATCAATATCAAATTTATCGTTTTTTTTATCTAAGGGATTGGTCAGTTACTTCGGCCTAGGGGGGGGGGGTCGGCAGATTCCATTTTGCCAGCTCTAAATCTCAGTCGACCCACCCCCTATCAAATAAAAAAAAGTGGGTGACCCCCCCAACATTATATTATTATGTGCTTATGAAAACAAAGGAAACTTTTATTTTGCCTAAATTTGTGTTGGATTTTGGTATTTTACAGAGCAAAATATGCATATTTAAAAGTTAAAAAAACAAAAAAAACTATTTATTTATTTATTTTTCATCATTCATTTTAATTTTTTTATATATCAGCATTTTCACAAATTTAACTTTTTTGATTTGCTGAACAAAAACTGTCACTGCTCTTTGTACTAATTACTGTGTTGTCTTTCCGTCTCCTGTTATAATTGGATAAATCCAGTAAATATCTTATACAATGGTGACTTAAGACTTTAAATAAAATAATCTGATATCAGCAGCACATGGACTTGGGATGTGTT